AGTGATTATTGAAAAAAGTTTTTATAAAACAAGTATTCAAAAACAGGTTTAGTGATATTTTATAATATTATATTTATTTTTATATAACTTATTCATAGTGATTGTGTTGTGTAATCTGATTTACATAGTAGAATTATAATTATTATTATAAAAATGATCTACATATACTTTACTCTTAAATTAAATACCAAAAATGCATATGTGTTTGATATACTATTGTTATAATTGTAAAACACAAAGAAATTGCCTTAATGGTAAAAAAAAAAAATCTTTATTCTAAAATAAACTATGTTTCTATACTTTTAATAAATATATCAAATTGAGAAAATATTTTACTTCTATACCACTTCATATCTCACCCTGTTGTTTTAGAGATCTCTGTCACTATGTACTATATTGCAGAAAGCTATACCTCACTTGTAGCACACTATAATATATTAAAAAATTTTGATTTTTTATAAATTATTAAATGTAACAATTAAGTATTACCTATTTTTAGTATTATTAGTTCTATTAATACTAAAAAATTTCACTAAAAAATTTTGCTTTTAGATTAGATTAAGTTTTACTATTAAATTAGATTTGTAAAGTTTTGCTAGTATTAAAAATTCTAAGAAAAACTTTTTGTTTGGCACAGAAGGCAATAAATAGCTGCCGCAACAAAATTGAACCAGCAGATTCTCGATTTTGATTGGCTAAGAGCAACAAAAATTAGGCCGGAATTACTAATGAAATCATAGCCGCCTATTATGTGAAAATTGTTTCTGGGCCAATTTTACAATAATGCGGGCTTATTTTTTAAACCAATTAAAAAAAAAATTAAAAAGTCAATTCCGGCCAGAAATTAGTAAACAATTATGTAATGCAGGCCAAAATTTTGAAGATCCGCGGCCATTAGCAAATCAAAATCGACTTAGGTTCAATCAGTGTCTTGCGTTACAAATTAAATTAACGAGAGTGACAATTATAAAAAAATATTTTTTGCTTATGATCATGCGCATTTACCCAAACCACACTACTGAATAAGTCTACAAATGAAGTAGCAAAAGTTACGGCAGAAACAAAAATGCCACGAATCATATAATCCCTAATTTCCTCTAGGTAAGTAGCCCGGCAATCAATGCTACAAATATGCTCATCTTTATGAGTATGAAATTGATACGCGAACTTTGACATTGAATTTGAAAGTTGTATGTTTGACCATTTTTTAGAGAAATTGTACTAGTCATTGAAAACAAAATTATACAAATTATAGAGGTCGTTCATCAGTTTGTAGGATGATCAATCACATATTTGAGATTCACCCATAAAACAAACGTTTAACTTAAATATTTTCTCAAACAGAAACATTATAATTGAATATATCATATTCATTTGTACATTTGCAATTTGATATATAAATTGAAAGTTTATTAAAGTAAAAAGAAATTTAGAATAACATAGTTGTAGCTATAATATAGATCAATCGTAAGAGGATGCGAAACAAATGATCTAAAGAAATAGAATCATTATGTTACTATGTCTTATGTATTATACCACTCAAAACTATCAAAACATGCACAGGTCTTCCAAATAGAGCTCTTATCACGTATACCTAATAATATAAAATGAAAGTCAAATGGTTAATATTACGACCAAATAATAAAGAATAACAAAAGTTAAGATTATGAAGTCAGATGTATGTAAAGTAACCCGAACGAAAGAGTAGTCTGAATTGAGTTACATCATAATATGATGCCTTGCGTATCGAACTTCATAGAGCTACCACTAGCGAACCACGTTTAAACACTCCATGGACTATGTAAATCCGTCACGAGACTTCACATTATAATCCAGGAGGGTGTCGTGTCTGGTTATTCGCCCCCCACTCTCACAGGAATCTCTGCTAGAGATTTATTATAGTTTTTCTCAGACCTTCCCAAGGGTTATGTTGACGGCAAGGAGACCTTGCTGTCCGTATGTTTTCCCCTTACACAAGCTTTTCGTTCGGGTTACATAAAGCAAGCATAAAGCAAGCATAGTATCATCATATATACAAAGAGCGAATAAAAAATGTTGATTTCGAACCTTCATTAGTACGCATTGCAAAAGTCACCAATAAATAGAAAAAACTAGTTGGGGTGAAAGGTTTTGATGAACTTTTCGAAGATGCGTGTATTATAAATCAACATCACCATTACATCACCATTACGTAACAGATAATCTGATTAGAGGAACCGGTTTTAATAAATCGGGTTTATCACATGAATTTAGTGATAGTTTAGAATTTAATTGGATATAAAATTCACGTGATAAGCCCGAATTATAAAACCGGTTCCAACCTCAAAATTTCTTTGTAATTATGATTACGCCAATGTTCAATTTTGTTAAAAAAGTAATATTGGGTTAGATTTTCACTATGAATTGGGTTAGAAGATACAAAATTTCGCAAGAAAAACTTTTCATTAGTGCGCAGAAAGCAGTTTCATAACAGATAAGAGAATTTTGGATGGGTGTCTAAATTTGCGGTTAGCAGGCATTAGATCACAATTATAAAAATAAGAACTTCTATCGCTATACTAATTTTAACCAATTACACGGGTGTTAAAGTCTGTTCGGTCCTGTTCAGTGTTGGCCGATAACAATTTTTCGATATGATCTTGGTCATATAATTATGACTTTTGGGTCATAAGTCATATCGGTCATATCAAATATTAGTAAAAAAAAAATTTTTTTTACTGATTCTTACTATATTACATATAAGTTATAAAGTCATATCAACCTTCGTTATGACAGGTCATAAAGGTCATATACAGTAGGTCATTTAAGGTCATCATCGACCAACACCATAAAAGTTCAAGTTCTAAAATATCATGTAAACTTAAGTCCCAAACTTTGTTTTTATTGGCTCTTTACACACACACGTGTATGTACTGTATTATATTTCGATACAAATATACTGATGTAGCTTAGTTTTTAAAGCACATTAGCACTAATATAGAACAAAGAACCAAGATCCAAATTGAAGAAACAATAAACTGTTCAGGACTTGAGTCTTTTCTAACTTAAGTTTTGAACTGAAGTTTGAACAAAGACTGGACTGCTAAATAAGAAACTCATCAAACAATTTAGAACTTAAGTTCTTGCAAGCCACTTAACATCCTTAGCAGTATTCCTAAAAAAAAAATTTTTCTATACGTATTATATAACTTAAATCAATTACCGTATTCTATCATATTCCCTCTACCCACTTATTTAAATGTTAGATTAGCAGAAATCGCAATGAGATCTTTAGTAAAGCTATTTTCTGCTATATAATTGATATTTTAAAGGATCAATTTTAACGCTCACCCAAAATTACGTAGGATTAATTATAACTATAGCTTATATTTATTGCATGTGAATTAAATTACTATGTACCAATGCAAAACATTCGTTTTTGATATTCCTGCACGAAGATATCTTGAAAACTACCTGCTTGAATCTGATAAAACCTTTTCTATTTGAATTTTATTGATTCATAGAATTGAACTAAAAAATGTTCAACCAAGTGGTTGTCGAGATATCTTCGCTCAAAATTAGAGAAAAATCAAAACGCCTATCAAAATAACAGGTGCCGCTAACGGCCGAGGATCTTCAAAATTTTGGCCCGCATTACATAATTGTTCACTAATTCCCGGGCGGAATTATTACATAAGAAATTTTTAAAAATAAGCCCGCATTATGGTAAAATTGGCCCAGGAACAATGTTATAATAACTTAACTGACAATGTAAGTTACATGACCCTATGTAAGTTACAAAATATATCATAGTAAAGCAGGCCGGCTTTGTATTAATGCCGACCAGAATAAATTTAGCCAGCATTAAGGTTATTAAAGGATGAAATTATTATTATTATTATATACATAACTTACCTTACATGGTAACTTACATGACTTAAAATGTAACTTACATTTTAAAAATAACTTACAGTAAGTCTTTGATCGTCGCTATTAGCCAATCAGAATCGAGGATCTGCTGCGCATTTTTTGCGGTTTGATTTTTCTCTAATTTTGAGCGAAGATATATAAATTTTATGCTTTTTTTTTATTTGAATTCTATGAACCCATAGAATTCGAATCGAAAAGGTTTATCACATTCAAGCAGATAATTGCCGAGATACTTTGCTCAAATTTTTTAAAATTTCTTATTTTTACTGGGATCTGCATTACGTAATTTTGATTGCTAAGTCTTAACCCTAACCCTAAAGCTTAATTTTAGCTTTAAAATTAGAATCAAAATTTTCTATATATCAATAATAATGTTTAAAAACATATAGCGGTGAATTTCACCTCCGAATTCCAAATAAATTCAATTTTATTTTATTATTATTTTTTCTAAATACAATTTTTAATTCTGCTCTGAACATTTTTATTTAGTATCTCTAATTTTAATTATATACTTAGTAGATTTTTGAGATATAGCGTGATGATCACCATTGGTGATAAATAGCAAACATCTAAATTGAAGTTTTTTTTTATATAAAATATAACTAAGGTACCAACCAAGAGGGATATAAGATATAACTCAAATATAACTGCACAATATATTGCTATATAAATGATATGTATTAAATATTCAATATAAAAATAATAAAAATACGGAGTTTTAGCACACATTCATATGTATATTAACAATTTTTTTATTTACAATTGTTATACAAATGTTTTTTAAAAATAAATATCATAAATTTTTAATAAAAATTATTTTTAACATAATAATATATAGTTTTTTATAATAATACTATCCACATAAATTAATAAATATTCTTTTTTTTTTTTTTTTTTAGTATAAATACATTTTAAAATAGAGTAATATTAAAAATACAATTATAATAAAATACAGCTTTATACCTAAAATTTAAAATATATATAATAGTATATAAAGCACGTCCAAAAGAATGTATATAGATAAATCAATAGAATGGTGATGAAATAAATATAAAATTCTTATTATAACTTTGAAGCAGTTAATCCCATTTTTAAATATCGTCATGTTGGATCAGTGGACCTTCATTAGAATTAAAAAAAGAGAATCATTAATAACTATATTAATTTATAAAAGAAATTTTTTAAGGTTTAAATATTTACCTGTTGAATTATGCCTAGAATGTTCATAAAAACTATTAGATTCTAACGATTCTTCATATGATATTGTAGTGTGTTTAGTGAATTGTTTAAGAGGACGACTATTATAAATTGCCTGAGCGTGTATGGAAATTATTGGACTTTCTATGTGTTTATTTTCATCAGCTTCTTTGAATTGTTGATAAAAATCACCAGCTTTTGTATTATAAAGTTCTTTTGTCCACGAAAATAAAGCATGGGCCACCATTTCGACGGTAGGTCGTTCGAATTCATTTGTTTTCCAACAACTTTTCATTAACTCAGCATAGCACTTTGGTGTTCCTGGGATAATTTCTGGACGAAGGCCATTATAAATATCAAGAACAAGATCGTGATCATGCGTACGATTGTAGAATGGCGGTTTTCCTGAAGACAATTCCCACATAACCATTGCCAGACTATATATATCAGCAGCATTGGTAAATGGATGACCCTGTAATACTTCGGGAGCAACGTATGGCATAACACCGTATAATTCGGATACAACAGAGCTTGATTCAAGTGGTGTACTTGCAGGTTTCGTTAAACCAAAATCACTAACGGATGTAACAATGATTGGTTCGTCATCAGGGAAGCCGAGATTAGAGATAAGAATATTACCCGGATGAAAGTTTTTATGAGATAAGTCTGCATTGTTGTGTAATTGAGATAAACCGATTACGAGAGATTCAAGAATGTCTATTTTCTGTGACCAAGATAAATTTGGAACAGATTGTAAATAATTTCTTAAATTCCCTCTGTTAGCAAATTCCATTACTATCATGAAATCTCCTGTATTCAAATGCCGTGAAATACCAAAATATTGTAGAATATATGAATCCCGAAAGTTATGTAAATGTAATTTTAACTCATTCAAGAATTCAGGATTTATATTTGCAGAGTTATGTAAGCGTTTTACAGCCACAGTTCTTTCACCACCTCTCTCCCAAAATTTCTTTTCGTCATTCCATAAATCTCTTGGTCCATCAATCCAAATTGCAGAATAAACAGTCGCAAAACCTCCTTTACCAATCTCTACCATATCCGTCAACCGGTCAAATGGGATCCACTCCAAATAGCTCATTGTGTATCCAATATTCAATTGTGATTCTTGAACCAATTTATCAATATCTGAATTACCACTAGTCCAATTTGAGAAATTTCGCTGTAATTCTTGAGATTCACAAGAGTTACACCAGAAATTGCAAAGAACGCCATTTACACAATCCCAGCTACTTAAATCCTCGTTACATTTTAGACACTTTGGAGATTGTGAATCATCCGAAATAGAATATTCATTAATATTCGGCAATAATCCTTTTGATATTATTCTATCTTCATCTGTTGATAGGAGATTAGATTCTATCTCGTCATTAAATAAAACATTCGGTATTACTGGTAGAATGGCATGTTCTATTTTATTATCAGATTTGACAATTTGATCGGTTTGTTCAGAAGATGATTCTAAAATAACGTTATGTGATGATTTTTTTTTATTTAAAATCTTTTTGTTGCTTTTTTTTTTTTAAAAAAAAGAAAGATAATAATAATTTGATTATTATTATTTTATTATTTTATTATAATATATACGTATTACGTATGAAAGTTACTAATAGATGATAAGTTAACATACCTTGAGGATTTAGTTGCACATTTTGGTAAGCATAATAAAAATATTTTAGAAATATTAGATGCGGCCATTTTTGTTATTTGAAAGTATTTTTTTTTCGACAATAAAATAACATTTTTGATATTCAAATGGCACTATTTATATATTTATAATTTGAAATTGGTAATTGTATGCCTGATGCCATTATGCAGCACATACTTATTATTTTGCATAACACTCAAGTCAACAATAACAGATAACAAAATACTTGCGTACGTACATAACCTGATTTTTTGAGTACAATATGTCATTGACAAAAATGCAGAAATATCATGTGATCATAATGAACCAATAAATACCATCCTAACATTCTAGGCAATTCGAAGTTAATCAATTGGTCCTCATAACGTACGTATGAACTGAAAGTGACCAGCAAAACTTGACTTTTAATTTTTGGTCATAATGATAAAATTTTTTATCAAGAACAAATATAAAAATTTTTACAAAAAACCCACTAAATAAACAAAAAAGGATACATATACGTAAAATTAGTTGACTATAACGATAACTTAGTTTTTTTTTAATATAAATCTTGTATTACAAAATACGGCCGATGACTATAAATAGCTTTTCACATTGTAAATATATAGTGATTTTATAATACATAGTGATTTTATAATACGTAGTGATAGAAATTAAAATATAATCTAAATTGGTTTTTTATTATGAAATCGATCAGCCTAATCCTTCAATATGAAGGAGAAAATTATATATTATGCTGTTATGCGAAGCATTATTTCTAATCAATCCTTATAGGATATTGAGATATTGATAGCATATAATCTAATTATTTAAAATCGGCTGACAAATAACTACACATTATGATTACACAAATCGGTTGTGACATAACATATGCGGGTTAATGTTTGAGTTATACGATTGTTAGAGAATATTTAGGTTTGGTGATAGAAAACCTTTATTTAATGAGCAATAAACAAAATCGGATATCTCTGTTCCCCTTTTTTACACTTGGGAGAACACGTTCTAATGCATTGTTTGTAGATATGAGCATTTGATGTTTCCAATAGAAATATTAAATCCGAATATATATTGAATATGACATTAGGTCACCAGTGTCCAGCCCAGTCCAATGGTGTTGAAAATTTTGATAGACATATGTCAAGATGTCCAAGGCCAACATTACCCCTATATGTACATATTATGTACGTATTAATAAACAAATATAATGGAAAACGCTTGATGCGATCTAACGTAACGTACCCGTGAACATGGTTTTTGGCAAAACTTAATTTTTTTAAGATATCAATGGTCTATCAGTAGAACACATTGGGGGTATTCAGTAAACTATGTAAATCAAAACTATATGCATATATATAGTATCATATAAAACTTAAAAATTAATTATTAACGATTTTTTGTGTTTAAAATAATAATTGTGATGCCTATCACTCTTCTATCAATTATACTGTAATTATTAACGGTAAGAATGATTCGAACATTTTTAGATATCTAAAGTGATCCATTTTTTTTAGCATAAATCTATTCTTAAACATGTTTATAACAAAACCAACTTATTTGATTGAAAAAAAAAGAAATTTTCTGTTGGAAATCAAAATTTTAAATTTAAAATTTAAAACATTCTAACGTAACCTTGTTATAAATATGTAAGAATAGATTTGTGCTAAAATAATTAAAAATTTAAAAAAAATTGGTATGATTTTGATTTACATAGTTGATCGAGTACTCCGACTCTACATGTCTTCTAGACGTGCCCAGAAAAGCATAGCGGACTTTAATTTTGATTGGTCAATAACTATAACATATACATCACGTATATCATCTGAAACGAATTGGAAACTAACGAAACTAGAGATGCAGGTATGTACGTACGTACGTACGTACAGTACTGGTACGTACAGTACTGGTACGTTTGAAATCTGTGACAGGTTACGTCGATCACAGAATTAAGCGCAGATTTTAATTTATATACTTTATATTCGATATTTAGGTATACTCATATAACTAAAATTTCGTGCTGAAGACTTTTATTTAGAAGTCAAACTAACGACGGTTATCATAGTTGATAGTAAAATCTTGATTTTCTGTTTTCTCGAATTTTTTAAGTTACACATGACCTTGTGATTTTATTGGATACAATTAGCAATGATCGACATAACCTGTCACAGATTTCAGACGTATCAAGTATTAGTATAGTTACGTCAAAAAGATGAGCGATTACGTCTTTAGCAGTAAATGTCGTAATTATCGACATTTATCGCAACCGTTCTTTAACTTTCTTGAAAAATAAACTAAACGTAATTTAACTTACAAATTAAAGTTCTAAGAATTTAAGGCGAATGCATAACACAACTTTTAGTCTTCATATATCGAATGATTGGTATCGTCGGATACTGTATTATGACACTACAGCGTAAGTCAATATTACGATAACGTCAGTTGTAACTTTTTGAATATCAGTCACGTCTTGACTTACGACTGGAAGTTACGTCATCGATCATATTTCTGCACCTACTGTATAAACGAAATCGATACATATCCAAAAACTATAGTACTCTTTTTTATTTTCAATTGATTTCTGACCATAAAACTGAAAATTGAATGATAATTCTGATCATGCCACGACTAGTCTATCTATCAACAATTACAAGATTAATCAACAGTGAAGAATAAAGGATCATATAAGTAAGCTATCAATTTTTACTAAAGGTCTTTGCCTTTCCAAAAATTATTGGACATTTCTACTTGAATTTTGAATGAAACTTGATCGCAAAATTTTTATTTATTGTTGAAGTTATCACGCATAAACATTATAATGAAGGTAGGCATAAACAACGTAAGGAGGAGTATTAGCACATACTATTTATTCCCTCGTAGCAGAAAATGATGTTAACTGTTGGCCGAAGGCTATTTCATTATTGAGTTTGAGTGAAAACTTTATAACCTATAATTAGTCAAACGGCAAATAAATAATATTATATCTAATATTGTAATATATCACTCATTCAACATATCTGTCTAATCGCTAAATCACTTTTAGATTCTTAGTTTTCTTAACGACAAAGTCAATAATTATACTGCAGCATTGATTTACCAAATTTTATTGGTTTGACATTATTGATCGAAAGTGTGACATATATTTAGATTTTGGCTATTATTCCAAATGAAGTAGAATCTCAATTCTCAAATCCAAATTATGTGATAATATTATAATTCAAAAAATTCAAAATGACTTAGTTTGTACCCTAATTGGTTGTTAAGAATTATAATAGCTGAATTCCCAAATTGCTTGCAAAACGTTTACGTTGTTCTTCAACCGATCCATTTGTTGACAAGCCATAAAAGTTTAGGAGATGGTTCAATTGAGCTCCTTTTTATTTATAAACATTTTTTAGTATATATCAAAATCTTTCTAAAATCTGTAAATGTGCTTAAGACATTAACAGTCACAAATCGGTTATAACATTCATGTACTAATTATTAGATTTAGCGTTGATTTTTTCTCAGTTGCCATCGAAATAAGTAATAGAACTTCATGAAAAATCAAAGTGTTATTTTGCAAATTTCATGGCGCAGGAAAATTAACGTTAAATCTAGTGATTAGCATATGACCGTAGTACCTAATACGATAATAATACAAACCTGTCAGAGCGCGAAGTGCATCAACAGATTCAGGATAATTTTGTGGAACGTTTCCATTGAAATCAGAGACAATTTCCAAGTTTAAACTTGGGTGGCTGACACGAGAGTTAAAGATTCTTGCGAGAGTCCTCTTGTCCCTAAAATATAAAAATATGATGATCACTTTCTTATTTAAATGTTACTGCAGAAAAATCGCCCCCTAGCGCACCCACAAAAATTGTTCCCTCCTGTGATTTTTGACCAATCAAATTTCAAGATCAGGTGTAACGTAAACAATCGAAGCGAAATCTTTTTTTAAAAAAAACAGGAATAACTCGAAATTTCAATTAAGAGAACACGTTCTACGGCCTAATTAAAAACGTTCCTCGTGAAATTTTACTAATAAAAACTCTACCGTTCTAATCCAAACCTAACCCAAACTACAACGTTTTATTCTCAGTAAAAATTGCAAGAGGGAACAATTTTTGTGAGTGCGCTACCTAAGTCCCCTAACCATGATATAGCAAGAAAAATCACATGTTTTGGAGACCCGTATGAATATTTGTAATTGCTGTTTGCATGTTGTTCATGGAACTCTCCATAGTAGACATTCTTCTTTCAACGGTTGACATTTTAGTTTCTATAGTGGATATTTTTCTATCAACGGTTGTCATTTTGGTTTCCATGGTAGACATCTTTGTTTCCATAGTAGACATCTTTGTTTCCATAGTAGACATCTTTGTTTGCAGAGTTAAGACAGTGTTATTCATACTTTGAAGAGTCGTATTGATTTGTGCTAGCTGTCGCGCAACGTCCACATTTAAAATATTTGGCATTAATGAAATTTCTTGAATGACAGTTTGTAAAGCTCGTGTAAGATTTTCGAAATTAGGTTGATTTTCTGCCTACAAAACAATGTAATGGTCTTAGTTTTTTTAAACTAGCTTACCATGTCAATATATATATATATATATATTTTTTTTTTTATTTTTTTATGGAGCAAATTTTTGTAATTACCATGTTTACTATTTCTCGAAATGGACAGAACTCCGTTAACTGATCTACAATCACTATTTTATCATTATTATAGTGTAATTCATTGGAAGTTTATTGGTCAACAAGATACGTATGTGGCACGCAAGTGCAGTCAGTAGAATAGCTTACGTCAAAATTACGGGTCATCTGAAAATTGTCGTTGACCGAATCGATAAGTTACCGAATCGGAATCAATAAGTTATCGAAATCGGTCGATATCAAAAACTTTGACGATTTAGTTATCAACAATTTTTTAAATGTCCCAGAATTTATGAAAAACAGCTGTAATTTCGTGGGTGCTTAATTCTGTAATTTCAGAGAATGGTAGTCGACTCTTCTAATATCTTAAGCTTTCATCATGATTATAGAAATTTAGTATCGCGTTATAAATATTTAATTTAATTTTGTTCTCCAGACTTTTTTAAAAGATTAATCAAATAAATTTAGATCGGTACTCTAATTTGATCCTAATGTTAACAATAATTTGATTTTACAGTCATATGCTTTGATCACAATTTTTAAAATCAAGATTTTTTAATTTAAATTAAAAACAATTATATGGTGCTAAATACCATAGGTGCATTTTATAAATAATTATTTAGAATAATGACCTGAATTAAGTCTAATTTTGGCCAAAATTTGAGATCACACCCCGCGCGTTATTTCGCGAAAATACGGTAGTAAGTATTCATAACTTAATAGATTATTTTTTGATACGTAAATTAATTAATTTTTTTTTTTTATTGTCACCGATTAAGTTAATAAAAAAATGAAATTGAATAATATATATTTTAATACATAAATTAATAAGTAAATATTCATGTACTTGGATAGCTTTATTAAATGAATTTTACAAATAGTAAGTATTTATAAAGTATTTATAAATTTGATAGATTATTTTGAATACTTAGATTAATATATGTTATGTTCTTTATAGTCACCGACTAAATTAATGAAAATAGTAAATATTTATGAAATTGAATAGCATATTTTTAATATTTAGATTAATAAATGTTTTAATACTTACTAATTAAATATATAGTAAATATTTTTGAACTTGAATAACTTATTTAATAAATTTACTAAAAATAATAAATATTTTTATACTCGCGAACTGAATAATAAATATTTATTAACTTGATAACTTATATTAGACGCTTAGATTAATAATAATATAAAAAAATGGAATTTAAATATTCATGAAATTGAACAGCATATTTTAATACATAGAATAATTAATAAATGCTTTTTTAATATTTATAAATCAACGCTAAATAAATTCTTATTAATTAATAAATGCTTCTTATACTCACAGGTCAACAGTGTTGGCAAAATATGGACATGGGCAATATGTATCAACAGGACATTTACGGGCTATCTCTATGTCCATATTGTCTATATTCTTCTATTGAACATAACAAATTAAGCACGTGAGCTTGCTATTCTGAATAGAATAAGGTCAAGGCCAAAATTAGGATAAATGTCAGAAATATTCCAAAAAATTCGACAAAGAAGATATGGACATGGACACTATTTGGATTGGTTCATGTCCATATTTGTTCAAGTCCAAATAAAATGTTTATTGGACATAGTCCAAATGCCAACACTGCAGGTCAAAAATCTATTTCGCTCAATCACGATCAGGGAAAAATTAGTAATACTGGGCCAGATAAAAATGATGCGGCTGACAAGAATTCTAGTCATATCATTAGGATCAGTTTAAAGCTAGTGCAATTTATAAGAAAAAAATTTCAACTATCTGTGAAATAAAATATCTATAAATAAACTTAAATTCGAGTTGATTGTAAAATATCAGTGAAATAAGGTGCCTATGAAGTTTCTGTCAATGAAACGAATCTAGTTAAAATCATAGCGATAGATAAAAAAATTTTTAAAATAAAATCCGGGTTGGACCTTATTTAAAAAATTTTACTTAAAAAAAAAAAAAAGTCGTACGCCTGCGATATTAAAATAAATTATATAATTTTCGGCTTTATTGAAAAGATTTTAATTTTACCAAACAAGTAAAAACAAAAAGAAAAGAAAAAAATCAAAAAAATCAAAATAAATACTATTCATTAAAATCTACCGTTCACACAATAATAACCCAAGAGAATAGTTAAAGTATCTATAAATATCTATAAACAATTATAAAAATAATTTATACATGTTCGAGAATTTTTATAACCTGTTAAATAGAAGTGAGTGAATTAATTAGGCCATGCGTATACATAACGACGATATGAAAAAATAAATAAAATACCTTTAGTAAGCTTTATAAGAACTATAAGAAGATTTACTTTTATCGTCATAAGAACTATAAGATTTACTTTTATCGTCATAAGAACTATAAGATTTACTATATTTATCATCAGATTTGGTGGTATCGTAGGATGACTTGGTGGTATCGTAGGACTTGTCATAGGACTTGGTATCGTAGGATGACTTGGTGGTATCGTAGGACTTGTCATAGGACTTGGTATCATAGGACTTGGTATCATAGGACTTGGTATCATAAGTCTTGGTATCATAAGACTTGGTGGTATCATAAGACTTGGTGGTATCATAATCAGATTTACTTTTACTATAGTCACTGGAGTAAGATGAATAGTCTTTGGCAACGGGTTCAGCATTGGCTTCCGGATCACGCTTATAATAACTATAACCATAATGATATTTTTTATGGTAATAATCATCATAGTAAGGATCGGCTTCTGCATCACGTTTGTAATAATGCTTGTGCTTATAATAAGAATAGTAGTTGGGATCGGCTTCCGCATCAGCATTGGGTTCAGGGCTGGCTTCCGGATCACGCTTATAATAAGACGACTTATAGTAATCATGACTTTTATGGTAATATCCATAGTCAGGGTCGGCTTCCGGATCACGCTTATAATAACCATAATGTTTATAGTAATGATCATAGTGAGGATCGGCTTCAGCTACAGCCTCCGGGCCACGCTTGTCAGCTACGAAAGTTGTCACGTTTTTTAAAGGTTAATACGATTTTATGATTGAGATACAAATAGGCATAAAAATTTATGTTAAACATAAAAACCTACCAGGAATCGCCGTAACTGACACAGCGGTCATAACAATAGGAAAAATTAAAGATAAGGTGAACTTCATTTTGTATATGAAATGTCTATACTTTTAACTTTTTTGTGAATAAATAATAAATATAAATAAATAAATGAAATTTTTTGCAAATTCTGGTAAGTAAAAACGGTATAAAGGGGAGGGTTTTTATATTTGAAAGACGTATGACACACGCAATAATGCAAAATTTTATGGGTATGAAATCGAGCGCACGCGTTCACAGCCGTAGAAAAAAAAGGAAAGATCATGAACATCTAAGCCTCTCTCTCCTTGCAATCGAGACGATCGTAGTCAGGGCTTAGATCGATCGTTCACGCATGTAATCAAATAAATATGAAAATTATGTGTTTACAAGAAAAATTGTAACGACGAGAAAGAAGGCTTTGATCAATAATAAATTCGTGCTATTCTATTTGAAGCAGATCAGGAAGCGAAGCACTGCAGCCTAATGTCGGGAAGTGTAAGAGGCTGTGAATTTGTGAATTTTCGGAATTGATGATCATTCTATAAGCGATGAACTTCATCGTACATAAGTTAACGCGTGAATCTTGAGAATACAGTATAGTAGGTATACGGAAATGCAAATTAGGACGTAATTTACATGCGGAAATTAATATGTACGGGTTCGTAAAAAAAAAGGAATTCTTTAAGTCAAAGTAATTTCCTATTATCTACTCAACCCTAATAATCAACAAGTCTTGCTAATAGTATATACTATTGTATCAGTTTTCGTCATAATTGCATTCTCATACTGCAAAACTTATTACTTCTGAATTTTTAATCACTAGCTCGAAGAAACTGCTGGTTAAAATTGGACATTTAATATGCTAATGCGTGCGTACGGTACGTACAGGTATACGTATGAAAAATCAATTAATAATTTAAGTGACTTTCCGTATTTCGCGGCTAAACCACCCTAGAGATTGTACCCGGGTAGACATTTTTATTATATGGCTATACCGGTAATTTAAAATACCCGAGAGATTTTCTTGACGGGTACAATCTCTAAACCAACCTCCTTTGTAAAATATTCATCAGCCTTTTTCTAGATATTCTTAATAATTGTATATAGGTTATTAATACAATACTAGCATAAGTAGTACAAGATATAAGTCAAATTTTGCACAATTCTGAGGGGTGGTTTAGCCCGTGAAATACTAGATACTTTTCAAAAAAGGAAAAAAAAATCCATAAGATGAATCTACGATCGCCCGTATTGTGGCTTTGATTTATCGTGGCTTTTTTTTGTAATAACGTTTTGAGTCGCACATACGGGATGTGATTTTTTTTACTAATCTTACAAATTATTGTAAATAACTTATTAATTATTGTTATGTTAATATACAATATAACGAACTCAAAATTTTTAAAATTTTCATAATGGTTTCGTACAAAACAGAGCTATTATTTCTTAAGAAAACATAGTAATTTTCTGTAATGAATTTTTTTCTCTTCCAATCCGGATAAATCCGTCACCCGTTTATCCATATCTGATTTATTCGCCGGATAATCTAACAGATATTCGGATAATTATCCGGATATCAATAGTAAATGGATAGTAAGTGGATATCCGAATAAATTCAGATCCGGATAAACGCTAACCTCTACTCATCTGATTTATTTGTTATAAAAGAAAAAAAAATAAATCCGTTCCGCATCCAGTAACAGCACATCTGGCTTTGAGATTTGAAAATCTAATTTGATTGTGATTTATTACATCAACGCGCCTCATAATCACCTAATTGGGCTTACGTATATAAGGTTATTTTTATAAGTTGAATGTCTGGCTGAAAATTTTCATATATAGAAAGTAACTATATGAGGTGTGGCATCGGGCAAATAGGGATTATTTTTTCACTATCTTCGGCAGTGCTAAAATTTAAAATAAATACAGGTATGTCGTTACGCAACGGGCTATAATGTGTGAAAGCCGAGATTGTATTCGGCAAATAAATCTGATAACAGGGAAAAATGTATGCAAATATGTTACGCAAATTTGCAATGGTCGTCAGTGCGTACGTAATTCAATTATTTTGGATGATTAATTAGCATTAGGACAAATGCCTATTGACGAAGTAATTTTGGCTAAATATCTAGAATTTTTTTTTTATGTTTATCTTGTTACATATCCTAGTGTATCTTCACACATTGGAACCATAAAGCATTTTATATTACGTCCTTTAAACATTCATTAAAATTATGATATACATGAATATAGTCCAATGAGGCTTTGACTTTTCTCCTAATATTCTTGATTTCGTGTTTATTTATATTTGTCAATTATTCTATTGATGATTACCAAAGCCTTTGTTAATCTTATATGTGTACATAACAATTGTCATTATTTGCAGCTAAAGGAAAACCGAATTCTGGCTTTGAATTTATTACTTAATGCCAAGTAGATGACTAACTGAATATGATACATAACTAATTAGATTATTCAAAAGCCATTTTTATTAAAGTAATTAGCTTTTTTTAGCAGTATATATTTATTTATTACTGATAACTTTAAAGAATTATAGTCAAATTGTATCGTGTTTTGAAAAACATTGTTATATTATTATTATTATTATTTTGACACTAATTATACATCTTGTATGAATGTATACAAACAAATATAAGTATTTAAAAATTTTTAAATATTTTTATTTAGTGCTCTAATTATTTAAATATAGCAATACTGATAATAAATAATAAATAGCAAACTTTTATTTATAAATAGTAAAATTAAATATTTTATTAAGATAGCCAAATTTAATATACAGTGCCTCAGATCGATTCTTGCCTCAGGTGATAACTGAGACATCTCAGATGTCAGTCTTCAGATAAGGTGTGTAACTTATGAGGCAACTGCAATTAATCCTTATTATTCGACGTTATATTAACGTTAACACTTAAAGAGTACTGATACAAGATTTTAATAAAACAACTAAAGGAAAGAATGGCTTATTTGCATGCTATTTTTATCAATTATTATAAAACGCGCCTATGGTGTTTTAGCACCATATATAATTGTTTTTAATAAAATTTAGGGTTAGGGTTCGGGTATTAAAAATTATTATGTTTTTATATAATATAATATAGAGCTAATATAAGGTCCCGATCTCAGTTTTCGTGAGTTTTTTGGGGTCCTGAACATTTTTACTTAGAGTACACGATCCTGTTTACTTAGTACGTTTTTGAGAAATAGAGACCTATGGTTTAAAACACCATAGGTGCGTTTTAGTAAAATTCATTTTTATAATATAACTTGAAAACATAAGTATTAGGCATTTTTATGGATTTAATTCAAGCATTACCTTGTCAATTCAAAGAAAATTCTGTCCACAAATTTTCATTTTACGACCAATATTAAATTCATGACCAGTAGGTTGTTAAAATGGGTTGATTAATGTTCATTCACGTTTAACATCAGGCCCGAAAGTTGTGATTCTTAAATTTTAATATATTTTACTGACTATAAAATGATTGTTTTAATTGATATAAAAAAAAATAAAAAAATTAAGATTTCAAATTATTCAAAAAAATATGTTCAATTGAATGAAATCTAAAAATTATTTGTTTAACATAATAAGCGAATAAATAAAATAAAATTACATCATTCAAATGAATTTTTGTTTGGCTGCAAGTAATTTCAAAAAATAAATTTTATCATTATTGTCCATGGTCTGCCTCATAAGACAACAGAGATAACTTAGGTGACTAATTAAAGAATTACACACCTTATCTGATGATTGTAGGGAACAGGCGCAGAGATTTTGGGCATGCCTTTTACTAAAAAATTTGCATATATAAAGATTAACTCATGAAAAAATTTTGAAGAGCATGCCTATAGGCATGCCAAGAGGGCATGCCTTTAAGTTAAAGCTGTGCTCTGAACCCTAGATGATCGACATCTGAAGTATCTCAGTTATCATCTAAAGCATATGACCCTAGCATTACCATCCTAAAAAATTTCGCTACCAGAGTTAGGGTTAGGTTAGGGTTAGGGTTTGGGTATTTTTAGTTTAATTTTATGTTAC